CAATTAGAAACAAAATGTCTAAAAAGGCTTTTCAGAAAATAATATTGAGCAAAGGTTGACAAACATTACATAAATATTTCAGAAGGCCGATTCTCTTTTAGAGGTCTTGTCTGGTACTTAAATTACCTTTACATTATTAACTCCAACCTTTAATCTTAGAAAAATTGAATCTTAACCCTTCAACAAAGTGCTTCCACTGAGGCCGTTATAGCCTTACCAGCTAGATGCAGCTCATCAGACATGGGTAATAATTTCAAGACTATCATTCCTAGTCTGTCTTCTGTTCTTTCAGAAACACTCCAGCCTGCTTTGCAGAAATTATTTCTCTCTACTTAGAAAATCTTGACTAACTTAAGGTACCAGTGATTGACTCACCTCTGTTAACATGAAGCCTACTTATATCACCAATGGGGCTGTGCTCTTCTAGGATACTGTTTCTTATGTGAACATCACTTCTGCTCTGAAGACTCAACAAACCATTTAAAATCCATCAGCCAAGTTTAGTATAGTCCTTGATTTCCTTTCAAGGAATTCCCAAGGCAGTGCTACGCTACAGCAAAATACTTCTTTCTGCACCTCATAAACAGTCAAGTAAGTAGCCCTGACTAAGCTAAAAGAAAAAGCCATCCAGCTCTTTGAAACAGACCCAGCAATACATTGGGATGTTGTAATGGTCTGGGTTGAGTTCTGGGTCCCCGGCTTTGTGGTCTATTCCAAGGACTGAAACAGCTGTGCCGGTAGTTGTCTGTACTGCAGTTGGCTGTTTACATCCTGTCCAAAATTTTAGTTGCTATTTGCACAGCCATTGTCATGTTACATGATTCAACAACGTGTAACAAAAGCAGCAGGAAGGATGAACTCTAGTCCAACTCCAAGCAACATATGCTGGAAAAATCTCCTGATTCACAGAATTTCAGCCGTGAATGCATTGATATGTGTTTTGTTGATTGAAATTTCCCTCCTTCATCTCTTGATTTTTGTGAGTGAAATCATAGAATTGTTGAATCCTGATGATGGAAAATACCTTAAAGGCTATCTAGTACCAACACCCCAACTGATACCAGAAACTTCTCTGCAGACACTTTGTGAAGTCTAATATAAAAATAAATAATTTTAAAGGTTATATGTAATCTGCGTAAAAAATTAGCATGAGTTCTGCTTCTCTACACCTCTTTGCACCTACTCCCTTTGTAATGTGACTTCACACCTCCTCTCATCAGGATGAGAAGTCTATTTCTCCCACCCCTTGGATCTGAGCTGGCCTTTTGACTTGATTTGTCTAATAGAATGTCGGGGGTGACAGTGTTTAGTTGCAAGTTAAGTCCCCTCTACTTCTCTGAACTCTGCCCAGCCACCATGTGAATAGCCTGGGATAACCTGATGGAGAATTAGAAACACATGGATCTAGCAGCCAAGTGAACAGTGAACTAACTGTCCCAGAAGTAACTGAGGTCATCCTAGACCAGCCAGCCCTCAGCTGGCCAGTCAGCTGCCCACAGATGCATGAGTGAGCCCAGAACAAATCAGGTGAGCAAAGACCAGATCAGTAGAAACTTCCAGCTAACCTGTCATTTCCAGAGCAACACTAAAGCATTTTGATGTAAGCCACTAAACTTTGGAGCAATTTGTCATGTAGAAAATCTTAACTGACATAGGGGGCAGACTACAGTTGTAATTATAGGTATTTATTCTATTAGAACCCTATTTTAGCATTATGTAATTCCAATAATTATATTTGAAATGATTTTGAGTAATTCATTTGCTCTGATTTTATTGGATAAAAAAATTTGGGTTTTTTGGTTTTTGTTTTTAGAAAGTATTCCTTTAGGTTGTTTTTGTCTATGTTTAGCTGATAACTGCAGTGAATCCTAATTTCGAATTTAGGACAGAATATTGAGAAACCAGAAGCAGCTCAATTATCTGCTAAGCAAGTGCTAAGTAGTCTGAAAATTTTCAAATAAATGTAAAAAAAAAATGGCCTTAAAGACCTGCATTTTTCTCAATATCATAATGAAATTGAGACAAAAAATTGAAAATATATGTAACACAGACCAGGCTCGGTGGCTCATGCCTGTAATCCCAGCACTTTGGGAGGCTGAGTCAGGTGGATCACCTGAGCTCAGGAGTTTGAGACCAGCCTGGCAAACATGGCGAAATCCCATCTCTACCAAAAATGCAAAGTTACCCAGGCATGGTGAAGCATGGCTGTAGTCCCAGTTACTCGGGAGGCTGAGCCAGAAAGTAGCTTGAACCCAGCAGGTGGAGATTGCAATGAGCCAGGATGGCACCACGGCACTCCATCCTGCGTGACACAGAGAGGCTCCTTCTCAAAAAAAAAAAAAAAAAAATCTAATCTATACTGTGTATATATATATCTATATAGATAGATGATATAAATATAGTATATAATTAATACAACATGCATAACATAGATTGCAGTTGCAATAAGATTTCAAAGAAAATAGTATTTACTGCAGTGCATCCTCATAGAAGAGAAATGTAATTTGAGTCTTAAAAATATTCTTAAACAGGTACAGAAAAAAATAAGGGTTTTAATCAGAAGGACAACGTGAGCAAAGGCATTCTCGCTCCATATAATGTCTCCTGAAGAATGGTTCTATTAACTGGCTACAATTCCTACAGGGTTTAAATTGACTTGGAAAATTTATACTTTTTTTATACCATCATTTATTCAATAGCCACTGAGTGCCTACCATGTGGAAGACATGTTTCTACATCCTTGGGATACAACAGTGAAGAAGCAGGCAAAAAGAATTGTTACTGAGGTGCTTGCATTCTATACAGGAATCCACTCTTCCATTTTCATTTAGGAAAAATCACTTAACCTATAAATTAACCAACAATTTAAGTCATCCTGTACTCTTCACTTTAACACCCAAAAAAAATCCAAATTGAAATAAAGTAGTAATACTTGGACATTGCTGTTTGTGTTTTGAGCCTGAAAATCACTACTGCTGAATAAAAATAACTGAACACAAACCTGTGAGCAAAGCAAGCTATCTGGGGATCAATTTCAGTCAAAATTGGAATTACGTTTAGTGATTACGCCTGTTCGACTATTGTTGCCTGGAACGTTTGTGTAGCAGCTACTTGCTTCTCAAAGTAGAATACTGAAAAAAAATTTTTTTTTTTTTTTGAGACGGAGTTTCGCTCGTTACCCAGGCTGGAGTGCAATGGCGCGATCTCGGCTCACCGCAACCTCCACCTCCTGGGTTCAGGCAATTCTCCTGCCTCAGCCTCCTGAGTAGCTGGGATTACAGGCACGTGCCACCATGCCCAGCTGATTTTTTGTAGTTTTAGTAGAGACGGGGTTTCACCTTGTTGACCAGGATGGTCTTGATCTCTTGACCTCGTGATCCACCCACCTCGGCCTCCCAAAGTGCTGGGATTACAGGCGTGAGCCACCGCGCCCGGCCCGAATACTGAAAATTTTTTATGACGTGCAAAGGACAAGTCAAAAATACTCTCTAGTTTTACAGTGTCTCCATGTTTATTTTGAAAGGGCCTTGGCAGATTGTGTTGAGACACACAATTGGCTTCCCAGACCTGGGAAATCAGACTTGGGTTCCAGCCCTAGTAGTGGGTTACCTTATAAATGTTGAAAAATTCTTCTGTGCACATGCTTTAGTATTTGAAAAATAGTACTTTTGGAAAACCACCTTGCTGAGCCCAGGT